AGGAGGCAGCCCAGACCCTCTCCACAGCAGATGCTGGGGCCAAAGCAGCGGCCCCTGTCTCCGGGGCCACAGGACATGCACTAGAGAAAGGCAGAGAGTTAAATGCCAGATTATTCTAGCATTCAGAATCAGTTTACTCTTTGTTTTCGCAGTAACATTAAATAAAAGCTTATTTAAAAGTGTATCATTTTCCTGTAATATGTCACAGGTTTGTCTGCAACCAATGAATTTTGCTTGATTTTTGAAACATAGTTAAAATATAAAGCAATCTATGTACTTTGTGCATATGTAGAAGATAATAAATTTCGTTTCTATTAATTTACAGTTCAACATTATAACAGCTTTTATTTTTATAAAATAATATAAAACTCTACTTTTTTCATTTGTTCAGATTCAAAAACAATAAAACATTCCCATTACAGTAGGTCTCCGAAAATCAAATTTCTCATACTATTGTAGAAATGCACATTTTAGTCACTTTAGTGTTAATATAAATTATTACAGGTCTCTTCTGATGTCTAAAACACATTTTCATTTGAAATATAGATTTATTGTTTTTTTAAAGTAGTGCTTTAATGTTGCTATTTTTTAAAGCAAACTTTAGGTCTTTAACATTCTTTTCTTTTCCTCTTTTCCACACTGTAAAATACATTTATATGAAAGGTTATTCAAGTAAGGATATAAAGATTTTACTTTGCAGCATATGTGTTTAAATATATATTTCTTATAAATAAATTATTAAATCTGTAGGATAGAACAATGTATTAAAAAATAATAAAAGTACATTAAATTTGTTTTTTTGAAAAAAGCTGATTTTCTACGCCTTTCTTCATGTTTTCTAAAGGTTTTAAATTGTGTTAATTTAAGGTGGATATTTAATTATTTCTTCTCTCAATTCGTCTCACACCTTTTTAGCTTTATTTATCTTAGGATAAAATCCCCACTTCCTTAAGGCATATGAATGTAGGACGTTATACTCTGCATAATAAAAGCTATCTATGAAATTCAAGTATTATCAAGATTTCATATTTTAAACTCCCTCTAGGTAGTTACTGAAGCAAAAAAAGAAGAAAAAAAGAAAGAAAACAAAAATCAATCCTTAAAGTTGTTCCATATATGCTTATATAGGCTGTTCCTTATATTATTAGTTTCCCTCTATACTGAAAATATATTCTAAAAATATAACTGAACACAAAAACTGGTTTATAAATGGTTTTAAATCTTCATAAATAAAAAAAAATAGATTTCCTGATTTTAGGAATAAATTGACTCACAATTCATATACATTTTTATATATAATTGTCTATTTATCTCACAGTCTATCTTTATTATATAGCCTATGCATCAGAAAGATAATAGAAAACAATAAAACAAATAATAAAAATCGGAATCCTGCATGCATCCTAATAAGGTTAATAGGTTTAACTCTTTCTAAAAGTGAAAATAAGAGAAAGAAACGTGGGCCTAAATTACATTCATAATTATTTATTCTCTTATAGTTTACCTAAAAAGTTTACCTAAAAAACTTCATTAAAAAAATATTCTTTTATTTTTAAGCGTTATCAAAATTTTTTTAATATATAAAAAAATATATAAATATATGAAATAAAAAAATATAATATAAAAAAAAAATCCCATCGGTGCCCACCTGTCTGATGCCTCCCTCCGGCAGCGCGCGCTTCCCTCCTCGCGGGCAGTTCTGGATGTAGCAGGCGGAGGAGAGGGCGAGGAGGCCCAGGACGCACAGGGGGAGCAGGCAGTGATGCATGGCTGCTGGTTCTGATCGAGCACCTGTTATTTCCTCCGCTGGTCTGGATGTCTGTCTGACGTCCCCCACTCCGGTCATTGCTCACTTATAAACACCTGGACAATGAGACCTACACCTGACGTCACTGACTCTACACCCCCAGGCTTCGTGCGCGAGCCTGTGCACGAGGGGTCGTAACAGATGTGCGTCTGCATTGGATGTGGACATCAACCAAATCTACGCAAGAAAACAGCATCTGTATTCAGCCCTGCGCCGCATTTTGCTTCTAATAAGCTTTTCAGAATCATTCCAGCCCTGGGTGACACAATAAATCTGAGGAGACAAAACAATTAATTGGAGTTTAAGAACAACTAATGGGATTTATACAAATGTAGTCAGATGAAGAACAACTTATGATGATCATGCACAGCTTAGTTGTTCACTGCAGCCTTTTTTTCTCCTTGCAGCCAAGAGAGACCATGGGAACCTCAGGGTCACACAAATTAAGATGCTGACTAACTTGTTGATGAGCGTAAAAAAAATAGCATTTCCAACAAACATATTTTAGTTGATTGTTCTGTTTTCCTGCATGCTTTGGGCTGTTTCTCTCTTATTAGTTGTTGTGAGGCTGATTAACTAAAAGACAGAAGGTAAAACTGAGCATCAGCAGGTTAATGAGCAAAACGGGCCTTTAATAGGCTCCAGGATTTTACTCTTAAATAGCATTTTGAAACAACTTTTCCCAATTAAAGTATATTAAAGCAACCAGGATAGATACAATTCCATTTATTGTTCACCAAATTTACAAAAACATAAGGATCTTCACTTCTTTTCCTACCTTTTGGGGGGGGGGGGGGGGGGGGTAGCGTTTGCAAGATCTACAGCTCAAATTTAAGCTCATGAAATCAAGATTTATAAAGCTATTTATCCAGGGTGGTAGAGCAAACTAGAAACTGTCACCTGAGCATAGTAGCTATGAAATGTAACAAACTAGCTCCCTGTTATTTGATGATGGCCCCAGCTTCACCGCTTCTGTATTAGGAAGGTAGACATTATCAGGTTAATTAAATATCTAGTACTGAACATGGGCTATAAAAGCATTCTCTCTGTGATAACCCAAAGAAAAAAAATTGGCTTGAATTGTAATTTAAAATACTGTAATTGACAGCATTCACATTAACATTGTAATTACCGCCACTGTTCTAACAGGGATCATTATGCTGGTGTGCAGTGGTATAGATCACTAGTGTTGTTACTCCATGCAGTATCATCACATACTACATATTACATGCTTACATATTAGTAAGCTTTACAGTGAATATGCAAGTCTCTGTTTTCTCCATTTCCATCAATCTTCGGACTTTGTTTAACTCTGAATATGACTGCAGTTTCCCTTTATAATATACTATTTGGCTTTTAAAACCAAACTATTGCTGCACATGCTGCAGTGTCATTAACTTAGTAGTTATTTATCACTTCTAAGTTAAACTATCATAGTATTTTTTCACCACAGAATTTCTAACTATAAATAAAGGAACTATATAATGGAAATAATCTACACCGGTTTGGTGTGTGTTTTGTGGGACATTTGAATGTAGACAACTATTGCCAGCAATATATCACTATAGATATGATTATTATCATAATCACAGTTTTGTCATGATTGTTTTAAGAGACCTGACCCACATGCAGACAACCACTCAGAGAACCAGCGGAAAAGTTAAACAGGTTTATTGAGGTAATGAGTACAGGAGTTGGATCTGGAACTCAGTGAACTGGTGAACCAGAACTGGAAAGTCTGAAGAGGAGATCGCAGTGATCAGTTCAGGGACCGTAGTAAAATTGACTGAGGCTTGAATACTGCTGGAGCGGGATTCATGTTTGAGGGGGTTCTTGTTAATCCTTGAATCCAGTCAGTGTGGGTTTATCTAGAGAACAGGGAACTCGTTGGAGAGTGGACAGCTAGACCTTCATTGTACCCGGAGGAACAATGGAGCGGGCTGTCACTTGGATTTCCGAAAGGGACTTGAACGGCACCTGTGGATGTTTTCTCCTGCTCAGTGTGAACTCACATAATCCTTCCAGGGGGAGAAAACCAGGCAACCAGTTACACAGGAAGGCTTCCTGCCGAAAGGCAAAGACAAAAACAATATTAGACTCAGAGAAACAAAGGCTCAGGTTGGACTGAGCTAATCTCAGCTTGGCTAGAGTACCCAAAACTGGCAAACACTCTGGCGTCGAGGTAGTGACAGTCCACTGCTCAAATACTCCTCAGTAATGATCCAACGAACCGCAGGTGTGCAGGAGGTTCAATGGGGACTGGGCACCACCTGGTGGTGGAGGGAGAAAAAAACACACTAACAACCCACACAAACTGGATTCCTAACAAGTTTATAGTGAAAGAACGATAAAACTAGATGGGTTAGAACTTGATATTTATGCACATTAATGGCAATGTGAATGGCTATGAATAAGGTATATCACACACAAAAAAAAAAAATAATCACATTTCACATTTTGCCTTTGAGTCAAAAATATTGTCTATGCTTCCCTTTCAGGGATACCATCAGTGAGTTTATAAATCTCCCCATCACTGCCTCACGGAAAGCACACAATGCATCCCTAACAACCGCAACTCTCACTCGTTTTTCATTAACATGGAAGGTAGATAGGTGATCTAAGCTATTCACTTAGCAGATTATGGATTCAATATGATGTTTAGGCATCAGCAGACATTTTACAGTACAAATGTTTCAAAAGTATAAAAATCCTTTTAAACTTAACTGGAAAAATTATGCAGATAGAACTTTAGAACTGTTGACTTCTTGCTCAACCTATTAGCTCTCATAGTTCAACCACATTTATATATTTTATACATGGTTTTCACACTAAAAGTGTTTAACTTTATCTGCATTGTCAATAAATGGCAAATTATTGTTGAAAAGCACATCTTTAATAAAAACAGTCTGAAGGTTAGACACAGCAGTTAAAAGTTATTAGTCATCATCCATTAATAGAACTCACTCCTTTTTTAAGAAGTTTGCTTTGAAAAACAATGAAACGGTCAATATTTCTATTGCATTGCATCTTTTAAGACTTTTAGTTTAGACATAAAGAAAACCTGCATGGTTTATCTAAATCCGTCCTTGATCACATAAAGAAACACTAATTAAAACTGTAATGCAAGAGTTTCACTGATAAATAAAATTGGGGTTAAATACCAAGTTGAACAGAAGAGAAACATCACAGCGGGTTTCATTTAGCCTTTTTATTTATGGGTACTTTCTGTGCCTCCAGCTGAATCAGTGAGGCTGATGCCTTTATTGCGGATGCAGAACTACTGATTCCAGTTAAACTGAGCGGATACAGGATCACGACCTTGGTTATGCTTAATGTTGTCAGGGAAACCAACACAGATATGATGCTGTTTATGACTGTGAAGACAAATAAATGTTCAAGCTACAACTTCACATTAACACTTTTGTACACCGCAGCTCCATTGCTTTTTTCTTTTTTGTCAATATCATGTCAAACTATTTTAGAAAGGTGCAGACATTTTCAGGTGGGAAGAATTACAGAACATTAAACTGCTTAAAAAAAAAAAAATTATTGTGGGTTTTCTCTGATCCAACCAGTGTCACAAATAAACACATTTGGAAATGTGGTTTTGGTCGATAATTTCTTTATCAAAACAATGCCCCTACCTATAAATAATTCAACATTTGTGTGAAACCTGCATTTTTTAATTCACTATTGCTTTTATCCATTGATTCTAAGTGTTCAGTAGAGCTGAGGTCAGTAATGAGTGGAGACCATTCCACCATCTCCGCATCCAAATAAATTTTTTTGCCTTTCGTGGGTTCACAGAGCTCTTTATAATATATATCCTAGTTAACCCAACATATAGGTTCCTAAGACTTTTTTACATAAAATCTTCTTCCTTCATTTAAAAAGCAAACTGAGACAGGGGCCAGACATGAGGACAAGGTGAGTAAAACATAAAACGATTAGCTGATCGTGACCCTTTCAGCTTTATCCACAAAGACCACCCAGCCTTGGATCAGCTCTATTCTTAAAATTTTTCTCACCATCAACCTCAAGTGTTGCTGCCCCTCATTCTTTTTCCATCCTCCGTGCAGCCACGCCTCCACCCATCTGTACAAAGATGACGGCACCAAGGCTGCGACTTCACCGCCATTAGAGTCCAACAGAAAGGTAGAGGGGGTGGAAGAGGACAAGAATTTATGCATATGTTTATTTTTATACGATCTCAATGAAAAGATCCGTGCTGTTCTTTCCTTCAGTGGAGGACACAGAGGGTGATGTCAGAGTTTTGACGGACTTTTAAAGCTTGAAAATAAGATACACTGCTGCTAAATAAGCCGCAGACATGAATTCACAGCAACAAGTATATTTCTTCAAGTATTAATCAGGGGGAAAAAAACAGTTGTTGCACAATAAATCTTTCATCAGTGATGGACACGAATAATGTTACAGCGTGGGGTAGGACTTTGACAAGATGGACATAAAATATGACTGGAGATATTGGCAGAGTTTAATGGCTTAGTCTCTTTCTGCACACAGGCGCGGCACAGCAAGTGGCCACATATCAGCCGGTAGATAGAAGACGCTGATGGAGAGTAAATGGAGACGGAGCTGGAACACTGAGAGCACACCTTTCCATCTGTTTAGAAAACACAGGGGAGGGAAAAACAAAGGTTGAATAAAATAAATAACCTTTTACATTTTAAACAACACAATATTACACTTCTTAAGTCATGAAAACATGATGTTAAAATTGTGAACATTGCCATAATTTCTTGTTTTATAAACTGATAACATACACTACAAGTCAGAGGTTTAAATACACTTATTAAGGGCATGGATGTCATAATACTTTTGTCATTTAATGATGATTGTAATTTTTTTTTCAGGTTGCAATTGTAATGCCGTATATATAACGAATTATTTAGAATAAACAAGAACTGATTCCACGAGTTAGATTTTTGTCTAATCTAAAAACATTAAAAAAAAAGTCAACTTCAGACAAACGTCACCATGTTGGTTAAGGAGATAATAGATTTTCTTTTAACCATTTGTCAGATTCTGCCCAACCTTCCAACCCGAGTTCACTGATAATGCAAAGACTATTTATGGGGCTCATGTTGGCTCCAATTAAATAATAAATAAACAATTTAAACAAGATCTACCATTACAAGACAGATTATTGCTTAAATCCTGCCCTCCAATCGTGCCCAGATTAGGTTTCTATACATTTCCTGGTGGACATGTATATACATATTTGAGACTTCTATATTATTCAAACTAATCCACAATATATTCAAATATTTTTAAAAATAAATATTTTGAAAGGTACATTTCATAAAACTGTTCTACCATGGAAAACAAATAGCTTATATATAGCATTACAGCTTCAATTCAGATATGATTTATGATCAGTTTGGGAAAACATATTGTTGTAAACTTTAAACCAGCACTATGAGAGAAATATTGTTGTTAAAAACTAATCTTAAAAACTATTTCTGCCATTTTAAAATCAATGAGTTTGTTTCTGCTTGGATTAAAAAAATATATATTTTAGAGAAAGCAAAAAAATAAATTGTTTGTGTAAAAAGAAAAGTATTTTTCAGTCACACTATGGCCATGACCTACTACAGGTTTGCATGTTTAAAAATACCACCAAGCTTAAAAGCATGTATGCAAACTTCTTCTACACCGGGTGCAAATGGGGTTTTTGGCTCTAAAATCAAATTATACAGCCTGTTTGCCTTTAGAAATATGTAGAACATATGCTAATCATCAGAACATAAAAAATACTGGGGGGAGGACATGCAAATCTAACTACTCGTCATCAGCAAGTAAAATGTATCAAACCTGAAATGGATTGTGGTGTAGTCTCTGCATCTATTTTTAGTGCATGTAAATTTCAGGCAAGCTCAAAAAAAAAAAAAAAAAAGGTTATTATTGTGGGACGGAAGCACAGGCTTTATAAACAACAGGAGAATGAGTGATATGCTACTAAAAATAGCAGGTACTGTACATATTAACTATAGAGTAATTTATTATTGGGAATAGCTCATTGCAACAGTTTTTTCCACCTTTCCAGCACACCTTTGAAGACAGTGAAATAGCCCAGACTAGTGTTTCAGGCGTGCTGTCCAGCGCCGCAGGTTGAATTTTAAAAGTGGGGGCACATGTTACACTCATCAGTGGGTATTTTAATCACAAACATTAGGTCAAGTGGAAAAGGAGCTTGCAAGACATATCTGTTTATAAAACTAGATAACTAAAGTAAAAAAAAACAAAAAAAAAACTGCAGCACTCATGAATATGAAGGTGATTTTTTCCCCCCATAGGAGAATGGAGATATCTCTGCGTTAACTAGAAGTTAAATCTTATATCATATTATGAAATAAATAGCTTTTCTCTGCCTTATGGCGCTGGTTCTGAAAAAGGACAACCAGCAGCTACAACTTTCACCTTTCTTCTTATTTAAGTTATGCATTAAAATTATGATCACTGTTAAAAAAAAGTTGCAGAAATTATGCTGGTAAACCAAATCCTTCCTTTTCCTCTTAAAAAGTAAACACTGTAATACTACAACATATTTTGTGTCTGGGAACAATATGTGTGACATCTCTGACTGACTGCTTTCAGAAAATAAAACAGTTATTTTAACAATTGAATGACTGTAATATGAGCACTGTAAACTCTGAGTGACTGAGTTGAAAGTGCTTTTATGATGGGAATGAAGAGACGCTTACATTTATTATTCTTTATATATATGATGAAATTTTGAAAGTATAACATCAACCTGTCCACGGACTGCTGGTGGAAATTTTTGCTATAACATGGCACATGACATCTCTTCCTTTTCTAGACTCATTTTTTTGTGTGCATTGACCCTTAACAAATAAATTGAAAAAAAGAAAAAAAAAAAAGAAATTAAAAAGACTGGTTTCAACAGCTAAAATCACCAAGATCTCCGAGGCCACTGCATCATGTTAGTGCCACAGTCTCATCTTAGTCTTTTGATTATTTTCTCCTCTGCCAAAAGCTTTTCTATGTATCAATCATACATGCCATCTGTGTACAGTGCCGTTGTACACTGCAGCTACCCTTAAGAAGAACAAAATAAATCATACCTGAAAAGTCAAATTAAGTTATATTTTCTGGGAACTTAGCCGATTGCTCTCACTACAATGAATAACGACTGAGAAACACATCTTCACTCTTAGGCAAATAGAGTTTCTTGTAAACTCCAGGTATATTGTGAAATACCTACAATGAGCCAGAGGGAACTGATCATACCTGTAGACGAGCTTGTAAAGCCTGAACTTTGGCATATTGTTGACTGTGATGTACTTTCTCCGTGGTGGAGCAGGTTTGAAGTAAAGGAAGGTCGGCCCTGCAGGGCAGAGAAGAGGGCCTCATCAAGGCTGGCTGAGAGAAGCTGCTCGTGGGAACTGACGTTAAGCTCTAAAAACAACCACATAAAAACAGGGAGAATTTGTTGGTATGCATAATGTGCACAGTTTACAACTCTGTGAACCGTGAATGAAAAAAACACAATATATCGTTTGTTAACATCACATATGTGACATATCCATGTACTCGAACACAACTCCAGATAGAGGTGGGATGTAATATGCTAATACGTTAGACCAAATTATCTTTAAATAGTAACTGTAATACTTCATCATTTTATGCTCTAATACAATTAATTAAGAGTGTTTTTAATTGTAGAAGTCATGCATTATGCCAGCTAAACATGTCAATAGAAAAACAGGTCCATGATCAGTTCTATACAGTGGAGCTCTTCAGCATGCAGCAGCTAGGTGATGGTAATTCTGTAAGCTAAAAGCCAAAAAAGAGACAGCGTAGGAGTCTCTTAAGATAACAGACAGAAGCAACAGACTGTGGGACATACTACGAAAAACACAGAGCATAAGCAGAGCTGACTGTTTGTTCAATGGAGCCGAAGATGAACAGAAATGAATGCTGTGGGAGATCAACAAAACCTGCAATATTCCTTGTAAATATGTTCTCCACGTTATTGTTGTTCTGCTATTGATTCATGGCAAATACGCACATGTAGCTTCTCAATGACTTCACTTTCTAAATCATTTTTCATAAGGCATTAAACAACAAGCCCCATCCAGCTTATTTGGAAGCATGGAGAGCTTAAAAGCAGGGTGATAAAATAATTAGCAAGTACAAGCAGATGTCTGCGAGAGTGGATAATGCCTATAAGCAAAACTGCAATAATCATAAATTAAGCTCTAGTTGACACTAAAAGTAAAAAAAATTAAATTGTCATTAATAGTGTTCTCACCGTCCAAAGTAAAATAACAGAATATCTTTCAATGTCAGAAAATTGAAATGCTAACATAAAAATAAATACTGGGGTAATAATACAAGCAGATTATTGGTGTAGTTGTATAAAAAAGCTCAGGGCTGCTGTCATCAGTTAGGACTTTTTTAAATGGTTGGTGTGGGTTTAATACATGGTGCTAAATGTTTTTGTTTGGTACATTTAATAAATTATTCTCATCCTGATTTTTATCTTATCTTGAACTGCAAAATGAATGCTAATCTAAATGATTCAAAGCTTTTTGATACAAAGCCTAAAATAGTAAAATTAGTCACAAAGTTTGATATTGCCCAACATTAAATAATGGATACTTAAAAAAAAAAACATTAGATAATGATGGAACATCATGCATGTGAGATTTGCTAAAGAGCATTAGTGAAAATATACTAACAACATACTATATTCCTCTACATTCTATGGATTTATGCAATACTTGAAAAATGTCCACAGATGTTGAGTTTTCACTCTACTATGACTACAGATAAAGGGTTTGGAAGAGTCAATGACCAATAATCCTGCAGGTTTGACACGTGTTATTGTGGCAGCAGCCATACTGGATCCTGAACTGACATTTTAAGTCAAACTTTGTAAACTGGTAGGCATTTCATATAGTAACTTCCCCCTCTGAACTGAATCAGGAAACATCTGACTCCACACATTCACAAAGGTGCGTGATGTTGTTTACATTTAGGTAAAGATTCAACTTTAACAACAGAGCCTTAGACATCAAATACTCACCTATACCTGAATGATTTCTTAGATTTTTGCTTTGAGGAAGCAGTTGTTTTTCAGTTGTTGAATCTCCTGCTGAAATTTCACTCCGATCTCGTTTCTTTGCTCTTTTTAACAAAGAATTATTATCCTTTGAAAGTGTGTGTGTGTTGGGTTTTTCATCCCTGTTAGTAGATGATGGTCCTGAGTCAGTATTTGCCATCTCAGCAGAGGTCTGACTAGTACCTCCTAGTTTAGTTTTGAATTGAGTAGACTTAGTGTTCACTGGGGCCTTAATAAAACCAGGAGAACTCTGTGAATGTCTCTGACCATTGGAAGTTACAAGTCTCGAAGCCTGTGGATTCTGCCCCTTGTCCTGTCCCCCCAGCGCCCCCTCCCTTCCTACAACCCCTTTCTCCAGGAGGAAGCGGTCGATTCGGCTTTTGAGTTCAGGGTTTGGCAAGGGCTGGCAGGTGGAGGAGAACGGGACACCGGTGAAGGGGTCGTTTGGCTGCCGACCCCAAGTAGCCTCTCTCTTCTGGTATTCTTCCAGTGTTGAAGTATCTACTGACATCCCGCTAGGAAGCAGCATAGGAAGCATCATTACTTCCTGTGTTAGTGGATCCAGGAATTCATCTGGGATGGAAATACTGCCAGAGCTAAAAAAAAAGCAGATATAAATCAAATTTTTCTGCTCCCAATCTAACCCAGAGTAAAACCCAATATCCTCATGAACTGAAAATCAAACATTACTTCAAATGCTGTCTACCTAAGGTTGCCCTGGAGTGTTTGTCTGGTTTGTCTGACAGGAGGAGCAAAGAACGCAGGAGGCTCCATCCGTCTTTCATTAGCCTTGTGGGTTCTTTCAATCCTCTCCACTTCTTCCGTGGGGCAGCAGCGAGCAGGTTGCCCCCACACAGCCAGCGCCTTCAGTCCAAGGGAAGATGCTGCACCGCTGAACGGCACAGCGACACGAAGCTGTGTCACGGCACCCAGCGACGGCAGCCCTCGACTCCAGAGCTTCTCCTGCCGACAAGCTGCCGGCTGTAGAGGAGCGGGGGAAAGGAATGGAGCTCGGGCGCGAAAGTTCGAGTGGCTGAATGAAACTAGCGTTTCCTCTCGGAGCTCACATCGAGCAACCAGCTTGAACTCCGATTCAGAACAGCTGGATTCAGAATTCAACTGAGATTGGAAGTCTGTGTGCTGAGGCCTGTCTTGAGCTTCTGTCCCCCACTGCTGGGCCTGAACACTCCATTGATGGCCATTACTAATGACATGTCGATGCTTCTGCCTGTTAGTTATGTTCTGCTCCTTCTTTTGCCCTTTACTCTGGTCCTGTCGATGAACGGGCACACGACTTGACAGAGTTGGTGTATCTGAACTTGTGCTGATCTCCAATCTCCTGCAGGCTTGGCCCCTGTCCATTCCCAAGGGCCAAAGCTCCACATCGACGCGGCAAAGCTCCACGGGGAAGCCAAACTTCAATGTCACCTTAAACCAAGGAATGTAAAAAATAGAAACAGACAAACAGGTAGAATAAATATTAAACACTTTTTCAATTACATGTTTACATATTCCTATGGTGCAATTCACATAAAATTTTCTCCCGGTGTATAAACCCAAGTAAAACATACGTAAAGAGAAACAACAGACGAGAAATGACACATGAAAAAGTATTAAACAGATTGATGCGTAATAATTTGTACAAAAGGCTTTGTTGGTGATGAGAGCTTCAAGATGCCTCCTCTATAAAGAAATTAGTTGCACGTGTGTTCAGTGAGATTTTGGCCCATTCTTCCAATCAGTCTTTAAATCTTAAAGGTTCCCTGGGCATCCTCTGTGAGCTCAGATTATTCCTGTTTTTCTTAGTTTTCAAGTGGGATGATTGTCTGAGTCATTCTGGCAGCTTTGTTTTCTCTCTCATTTGTCAAGTATCTCTTTATCTTAATAGTCAAAGTGACCACAAGAAACAACACAAGTGTCTGTTCATTCGCTTTATTTGTGAACCATGCCTAACAGTAGTTTTTCCCCCCCAACACAAAACAATAGTTTGGGTTAAAAAAAAAATTATTTATTAGCTTTTAGGTGAGTACTTTTGAAATAAATGCAAAAATAATTTCAAAAAGTTTTTACATCTGGGTAGATGTGTCTCTAAACTGTGATTTGGTCCTTAAACATGTGACCCTTTACCGCCTTTCACCAGAAGTTAGATTTGTGTTACATAGAAATATTGACCTTACATTAACAAAGGAGCTGGGAGGGAATTATGAAACGTTTTATTCTTTACTGCCTGAACAAGCACTGTTACCAGTTTTAATGACTGTACAGAATTTTTTTCTTAATTTGTAAATAAGCTCTTACTTTAATATATATATATACATACATATTCCAATTTTTTGTACTCGAGGCTTATTGGTTAAATCTTTTTTTGTTTATGCATTAAACGGAGTACTGTAATTCAACCTATTCTACGTCCTGTAGCTATTGATTTGGTACGTTTTATAACTCAACCCACCTAAAATTTTTATTGTGTAATCACTGTATGTTATATGTTTTATTCTTGGAAACACCAGAATTAGCTATTTATTTGATATTTTGTTAAATTTGACATAATTTATAAAATATCAAATCAGTTGTCATGATTATGGGTAGTAGATTGATCTCAGTAGTTGAGTAATTTTTTAAAAAGCTACTTTTTTCATTTGCTTGAGTAAAAATATGGTGAAGTAGTGCCACTCTTAACTAAAATTTTTGGGCACCCTTCACACCCTCTTTATATTTATATAAAGTGATACTTTTCACAATAGGCAGTGTCCACAATTTGCAGCTGGTACCCCTGAATTTCCAACCGAATATTATTTCTGATCTACTCTGTAATAAATCTGGTTTCCGCAATACATTTATTCAGGAGATTTAAAGAAAATGAATCAGTGTTCTGTAATCAAAACATTTTCACAGGCCCTGTTGAAGCCATTCCTGTCACAACATCATTTTGAGACTTTAATCCAGTGGTCTCCAACTATGGTCCTTAAGATCTACTGACCTGCAGGTTTTAGATGCATCCCTGCTCTAACGCAGCTGAACCAAATGGTCCTTTACCACATTTGCCAAATGTTACGGCATGCTGAGGTAATTCAGTCATTTGAATCGGCTGTATTAGAGCAGGGATGCACCTAAAATAGTAGATCTCTAGAACCAGGTTTGGAGACCCCTGTTTTAATCCATGTTCTCATTTCGGCTTAAAAGATGCTTAGTAGCTCAATTACAGCTGGTCCAAAATGCTGCTGTTTGTCTTTGAATTGGTATCAAATAATGATTATTTTTGTTCAGTTTTAAGAGGAGTCTGTAATCTGTTTTTATTCTATTATATTTAGAATTATTAGAGTTTTAGGAAAGTTAAAGCGCTTGAGTTGTATCTTAAAGCGCTATATAATTAAAGTATAGTTGAAACACTATTAAAACTCTCTTAACCACTGCGCATCAGGTTGTTTTCTTATTAATCATATATTTAGAGAAATCAAAAATATTTGAATGTCACCTTTACTTACACCATTGTAGTTTGTTAATTAAGAATTTGTGCTACACTTTTTTAAAATATCAGCAGATGGATATTCATTAGAGTCACAACACAATTTTGCTTCGAGAACACAGGTATGAAGCAACAAAAACTGCTAAAGTTGAGGAGAGGAAAAAGGGACGAAATAACCAGCTACTTTCAAAAACATGCAAGAAAAAATATGCACCCAAGTCTAGAAGTATGTGATTACTTATTTTTAGTTAGATGAGCACAATCTTACATGTAAAGGGGGGCGTAGGAAGTATTCCAGCTTGAATCCTCGTTTCCGTAGAGCAGGGTCAGCTGACACAATGTTTGTAACATCATAACCATCTGCACAGAGCTTAAGATATAGAAAAGATATGCATGACATCAATAAAAGCCTTATCATCACTGGTCGATGTATCTTTTATGCTCACAAATGGAAATGGCAGACATGGACAACAGTTTCTATGACATAAAAGACGAGGAGGCATAAAAAAATGGGATAAAATGTGTAATTTTCTTTACAGAATAAAGGTATATATTATATGTCCTAAATGCAGAAAAAAGATAGCTTCGATAGGCTAGATCCAATAAAAGGGACAAGGACAGATGAGATTCTCTCTCCCACACATCACTTTGTCCACTGCTCTTTTATTCTCCTGGCCTTCCTCCACAAACCGCCAGAGAAACGTCTTGTCTTGCTTTTCTTCTTAAACTAAAAATTTTCTCAAGCCTTTTCTAAGAAAGAGAAGTACATCCACAAAACATACTATTTGTCTAATCTGTGTGAGGACAGTAAGTCCTTTCATCCCACAAAAAAAGATTCTTAATATTGCGAAATCAGCTGGCAGGTTAAAAAAACCCAACAACAAATCACCTTGAGGGGTTGTACAGTTATGAGATTAGGCGTTTAAAACATGTCACACCTTGTTGCAATGAGCCGTTGTAGAAAAGTGTGGTAGACAGAGGTTGAAGACCATGTTTTCCAACCTGCGAGGCACAAAGTGAAAAAACAAACCAACATGATAATTTCTGTCACGTACAGGTAACATAAGGCCAAGGCAACATCTTTTATTCAGCAAATCACAAAATTAAGATAATATGAACAGAAATTTGTACATAAGCCTTGCAAACTAAAAAAATTTAATGATCAATCGACATCAAACATCCTTCCATCTCCCTTCACTAAAAGGAAAATGGTAACTTTCTCTCCCATATTTACTATAAAGCAGCTAAGTGAATCAAATTCAAAGGAGACAGGTTAGCAGCTCTGCAGCATATGTTAGCCTTGATGAAATGCTATTTCATAAACCAGATGACCTTTGTAGTTAAGATCAGCACTGCAAGAAACTATTCACGCATTATGCAATTAAATTAGGTGGCAAATGATATTCCCTACATTTATGCATTTATTTATACAGGAAGGTCTTTTCAAATAACAAACATCTACAATAAATTATACATTTTATGGCTACACTTCAGTGGTCTTAAGGTCTTTATGTGACAACTTGCAGCTTCGCAATTTTACATTACAGCACTACATTACTCAGTGCTTCCTGTTCCTGTGCAGAGAAAAGTCCGGTGGTTCCAGGGTTTTAAAATATAGAAACAATATGAATGGTTTTTAAACCACAATGTTTAAAGCCTTGACACCCGTGACATTTTTTTGGTTCAGGAGGAGCCTGAAACAGAATCAGACGATCGTATCTTTAGTATTCATCTGTGTGTTTTGGTTCTTGATGCCCCAACTCCAGCCTCCTTGACCTGCTAGTGAAGCACCCCCAAATTCTTTAATGGATTTTGTTGCTGATGCACCTTTTCCAGCCCCACTTCTTCCTTCCACTCAAATTTCTGTTATAATGTGTGAATCCAGAACTCTTAGAACAACCAGCCCCTTTGGCAATTACGTTTTTGACTAACCACCCTTGTGAAAGGTGTCAAAGACCGTTCTCTGGACATCTGTCCAGTCAGCAGTCTTCCCAATGATTGTATAACCTGCTGACCTACAGTAAGAGACATTTTGAAGGCTTTGCAGGTGTGTTGGGTTAATTAGGCCAATTAGACTGGGACATTGAGTTTTTTTTTATTATTAATTTATTTTATTTTTTTGTCCTACATTTACAAATATTAACATTTAACATCGTTACTGCAACTTTAATAGCAAAATGTGCTTTGTTCGGATGATATTGCTGAGAATCTGGAAACAACCGAAGCAGATGGATTTAGGGTGGAAACAATGGCTCAATCTATGGAAAAGCATCTTACACCCACTGTTGGGCATGGTGGAGGACTTGAGATAATATGGGCCCGACTTTCTTCCTAAAACCTTGAAAACTTTTTTTAGAAGTTGATGTGAGTCTTTTGTCTTTAAGCTGTAAATTGATGCACAAATATAGACAAATTCATGAAAGCTTCATGTCCAATTCAACGCCCTGACATCCTACAGGAAAGCTGTAGTGTTCACTAAAGAGGAAAAAGCCTCACAATATGTTTCTAATCTAATTGATTTTCTCTCTAATGAATATCTACTTTCAAATTGAAAATAGTAAATTTGTTCGTAATTTTTCTGCAATGAAAATGATTAAGCAGTCGCAGGTTAAAATAAAAAGAGACACTATATATATATATATATATATATATATATATATATATATATATATATATATATCCTTAAGCTAACTCTAGTTCGTTACTATGATTATTTCATATCGAACCATATAAGCTATTATTATTTGTTGTAGTAGCAGAAATAAACCGGTGGTTTCTGTTAGCCTTAAGCTGGACTAACCTTAAATAATTGGGTAAAACGTTTATCATGCAAACACTTGCCTGTTCGGAGCCTATTTTCTCTCAGTGGTCAAAGCAGTTAGCAACGCGCTAACTTCACACAAACACAACATCCGGCATTTCTACGGAAGCTGAGGAGGGTCATACTTTCTTTCTTCCTTTCTCTCGTCTCAGTTTCACCTATTCGCTTTGAGATAGCTTGTTGAAATTAACATTTTCTTTTATTACAAATTATTTACAATGGCGTATATTGAAAATAATTTCATAATATGTTTTTATTACTCTTGTTGACGCACCTGCAATGACGCTTTGTCTCAGTTTCCTTCTCATCCTGTGCAAGGACAGGAAGGGCTGGAAATCCTTATAAGATGCAAGGCACAGTTCAAAGCCACCTGAGTACAATGAATAGTGTTGAATGAAAGAACTCAGCTTATTTTTATTTGAATAATGTTAAAATAAAAGTGAGGAATATGTGTACATATGGAGCTGCACCCTAGGCTCTGGATTATTCTCTACAGAATCTTTTATCTGGGTGATTTTAGGAAACAATGAAGAGGATTTGTTTGACTTCTAACAGTTTATAAGAGATTATTAACACTAAACCAAAACTTGATGTCTAATAAATTAAGTAAAAAGAATCCACCACACAAATGAAATAAATATTTGTCACACCATTAAAAAGACAAAAAACTCTGAATAATTCACATATCTTTATTAGTTTTGTTGAATCTGAACAAATGAATTGTTTTAATCAAGCCAGAGCAGTACTACTAACATAAATGCAAACAATAAAGTTTTGAAACATGTATAAAACCAGAAGCATTTTGCTTTCTAAACAATGCAATACTGCGACTACATCACCTACATCAAAAGGAACATTGTTATTTTTTCATTTTTTGGACAAGGTTGCTATGATTGCACCATTATGGTCAGCCTATCGGCTCGCTACACATAAAAAAAAAAAAAAAAAAAAACACAGAAAGAAAAGCTAAGATGGCACGCACTTTTTTAATCTTTCAATTCACCATAATATAATAACAGTAATAAAGATGATAATACTATGTAATACCTTAGAGATAAGTTAATATTCTTGAGCAACATTTTTTTTATGCTGGCATAAACAACAGTTATAAAAGCCATGATATCCACATCTGACTCTACTGTACATCATAACTTGTGTAGGACACTACATAGTGCAGTTAGCCTGAATACTCTCCTTTAAAAGGCAAACCTCTCAATTTTACTGTTTTTTATTTTTTTTACTTCCTTGCCCTCTGCTTTTGTCTATGCAAATTATGCAAAAGCAAGTAAGAGCCTTACTAGATATATATACTCACCCTCAGTTTAAAGTTCCAGTCCCACAAGCTTTATGTAGCTTTTAAATTATACAACCCAAATTCAAAGAAGTTGCAACATTGTGTTAAATGTAAATAAAACAACAATGCAATGGTTAGAAAATCTTCTAAACCTATATTTTATTCACAATATAACAGAAAACACTGGTGACTGTTACCATCCATCATCTTCCCTCTTATTTTAGATCAAGTATTTAAGGTAACAGCTCTGCGATGGAGATGCGGACATCTCTCCTCCCTCTATCCTCTGTGGTGAACCTATAGACGAAGCCCATTTCAGCCATCTTTACCCAATATCTCATTCCTTCTATCTGGACTCATTTGTTGAAATTAAAGGAAATGAGTGGAACCAAATCAAGGGATTCATGTTTTATCTAAAGTCTGTCTTCACAACCAGCCAAAGCTGTAGTCCACCTGATTGCCAATCATGAACAAGACACCAGGTTCTTTAAAGTGTCCAGCATGAAGCATAGACTGACCCCTATCCTGAAGGGTTCACGAACCTGGGTGCTGAGGGTCATGGACTGAACATTACTTCATCTGTTCTCCTAACACGAGCAAGTGTCTTGCTTTGGTTACAAAAGGGCTGGAAAGTTCTTAAGAGCAATAAATGCCTGCTGGGAAACCTTTTTTTGGATGTGCAAAACAAATGTGCAATGGACAACCAAATGTCTATTCTTCTGTGGCCAGGATGACATTCACCCTGCTTCTCTTGTATCTGTGGTTTTGACCAGTAAACTCTACCAGGAAGGTTAAGAACTGGGCCACCCTGATAGTTACAACTGAGTTTTTAGTTCCTGGTGTAAATATTAAAACCGGTTTTAAGGCTGATAGGTTTCTGAGATTCTTTATTTTCTAAATCACAAAGCCATTGCTTTAAATTGTGTGCATTAAATCGATTACAGTTAGCAAACATTTTTTTCCATCTACCAATACCAGGAGTCTGCTTATCTCTCTATAATCTTTAGCCACAAAACACATATATCCGGATGTATATTGTAGAGTCCACTCTGGCTAAAGAGAGTCAATCGTTGATGAATGTAATCTTTGGAGTAAAGCAAAAGAAAAATCTACATACTAGCTTTATCTGGACATGCCACAGTCCTCCATGGCTCAATGATTATTTAGAAAAGGCTGAGGCTGACATTTTTCCTTTGGAAACAATGGAAGCTAAATCATACTTCTTCGCTTGTTTCCAGCTAACTGTTCCAAGGCCTGCCTCTGGAACAAACTGGCACTCACCAGGCTGAAATACTTGCTGCCACAACAAGCAAATACAGCAATCACATGGTAGCAAAATCAATTCCTTCAAGGATCTAAACATAATGAAGCGTAAAAGGGATTTAAGTAATTTTGAGGATTCGTTACCAAAAGAGCTGGTGTATCTACTTAATTATTGACTAAATGAGAATTTCACTATGAACATTCTGCTGGGTTAACATAAGATGAGGATAAAAAAAAAATCCAGCAAGCCATATTTTTGCATACAAAATTATTAACAGTCTGAATTGACCAAGAAATGTGGAATGCCACTTCTAAACACGCAAAAGGCAAATCTTGAAGCAGCCTGGCTACAGAAGCAGGGCACCAGAGTGGGAGCTATTCCTTTAAATTAAGAACAAAAAACAGAGGCTATGATTTACACAGGCGCACCAAAACTGGACAGTAAAAGATCAGAATATTGTTTCCTGGATCATATCAACTAGTTTCAGGGGGAATCTTTAAATTTTAGAGTCATTAAAAGAGGCAATCCTCCTGGTGCTTAACAATTGTTCAGCTTGGCAGTGGAGCTGTAGACTAGAGATTTTTGTTGTTCGTGGGCAGATCAAACCTTTTATGAACAAACTGTGCGCCTATCTTATGATGGATGCCCCTGCAGGTTTATTCACACTGCCACAAATCTTAGGTCATCTCATTGGATCTCTTGAACATGATAGTCAGTTCAACATAGTCATGCGACCTTCACAGTCACCCAGATCCCGATAAAAACCAATTTGAGATGTGGTGGATCATGCAATTCCTGTTATGTTTTTGTGGCCTGCAGATCTGTTGCAACTAGTTGATTGTTATCAGACTAATATGAAAAGCTTGAAGGAATGTTCTGAAGGCAACACTGTCATAAAAATACTAGCATGGAGGTTTTAGATCAAAATAGGTGAGTCATCAGGAGCTGAAGATGGGATATTAATCTCCTCTATAGTCTAATTTATGGGGTTGTGCCCTTTCGGCAATTTATTAGCTTCCATATTCAGCATGTTTCCTGTGTCAGGTTGTGAAAAAATACAACTAAAGTATAAATGATTGTCCTTTATATTAATCCTTTATGATTACTGATCTGATACCACTGATCTAAGATCAAGCTGCTCATGTAACAAGTCCAAGAATGAAACTTAATCATCTTTCTACGCTCGAGACACTACAGCCCATTCAATGCCAGTAAGTCCTGGATCTGCCCTGGAGTCTCCTCATAGGAGAATTTAACTATAAATCCTCCAAAACAAGGTGCCCAGAAGAAAGCCTATTCATATGCCTAGTCGACAGCTGTTCTTCTCCAAGCTCCCTCTGAGTGACCGGCCAATGAGGTTGAGCCTCGCCATCATATAAAATAAGCTCTTTTTATCCTCTTGAGATTTGCAAATCATTGCATTTTGTTTTCATTTGCATTTTACACAATGTCTAAGAACATTTTGTATAAGGAATGCATCTTTTCTCTTAGCATATCTCTATATTAATATTGCCACTAGTCCCTCTATCTTCAATCTCATAAGCTGAAGCTTTTCATATGTATACACACATGCACACACTCTCTTTCACACTTTCTGACACCCGCACATTTACAATCTATAACTATTATAGGTATTTCTTTCGCAAGTATATCATACATTCTATAAAATTCTTCACTTTGGGGGTACCGACTGCCTGACTGTCTAGTTTCTTGGCTGTGAATGCACAAAGACACAATTATCATAATAATCAAACTCCAACTGTGCGCGTACATTCACGTTCTTGCAGTTCAGTGATGGAGTTCAGCTGGAAACGTGCTCCGGCGACCTGCAGCGTTCCATTTTAGTCACGGAAGAGAATCTGAAGTGAGAGCTGATCCACGTTCTCTTACGTGTAAAAATGCAATCTATACTTGGTTTGGGCTGATTATCTGCGAAGCAATTGTATTTAAATTTAATTAGTAGAAAATATAAATTCTCTTGGTTTTTCGTGTTTTAATGGGTCATATTGGATCCTGTGCATGAAGAATCAGTGTGTGTGTGTAAATGGCCTTTGAGGTCAACATCTGCTGAGATTTAAACAGAGAACAGTCCAGCCCTGTATAATAGTCTTGCGCAGCTGGTTTGCTGATATCACTATTAAAGCACTCAAATAAATAAACGCCCTTTCTCTCTTTTTCTTTTTTCGATTCCCAGCATTAGTTCACTCTCTTACACTTGCTGAGAAGGATGGGGTAAGGCGCTCTCTGGCCAAAAATGTAAGTTGACGTCACACACTCTGACCACTAATTCTACTTTTACATAACCAGTGACACAGACTTACAATGAATAAACAGCACAATATATTCTTGTTGATCATTTCCGACAATATCCCTGATTGTCTGGTAAATTTTCTCGCATGGGCATTAAATGATGCAGGTATTAGTGCTGTGATTTGAACTCTTTTTCCTTGGTTTTTTAATGTTTTCCATACATCACCGTGGTGCACGTTTCTGATCATGTAACATGTATCGGTGTGCACCACTAAAAGAGACAGAAAGGCCTCTTAGGAGGGTAAAAATTCAGCAATAATGAAGATTGCAGTTCTTCTTCCTGTTGATATTGTGTTTGTTTCCTGATAGTTTTGTTGCTTTGAAAAAGTGTTTCAGATTGTGGTAGAACTTGTTTTCTACTGTATGCTGAAACAGGGTTTTGTGTAAGAGGTCTTGCCACCTTAAGTTTAGAAAAAAAGAGAGAACTGACTTCACAAAGCTGTGTCTATATCTCTGTTGACTCTATCCTCTCCAGGCGTGAAGGTCCGGCCCAGGGAGGGGCGAGCTGGTGGAGTGATGGAGGACCCTTTTGGTCTTCACAGGGAGGGGAGAGGGTGAGAGCGATGGGACCAGAGAGTGACGGAGGACTAGAGATGGAAGGAGGACCAGAGAGGGATGGTGGACCAGAGAGGGATGTTGGACCAGAGAGGGACGATGGACCAGAGAGGGACGGTGGACCAGCGAGGGATGGTGGACCAGTGAGGGACAGTGGACCAGAGAGGGATGGTGGGCCAGACAGAAATGGAGGACCAGAGTGGGAAGGGGGACCAGAAAGGGATGAAGGACCAGAAAGAGAAGAAGGACCAGAAAGAGAAGAAGGACTAGAGAAGGAAGGGGGCTGCTGAGGAGACAAAGGTGACATGGCTGGTGGTGGAGGTGGAGAGTTGGAGGAGGTGGGGGATGTGGTGGTGGTAGAACTAACAGTGGTGGTGGAGCCTGTGGTTTGTTTGCCTCCCAACTGGCTCATTCTTTTTTCCAAAGCTTGGTTTTTCTGTAGAGTCTCCACGTAGCTGAGCTGCAGCTGTGCCTGATATTTCAAAACCCGTTCCTTCTCGTCCTGCCAGGTGTGCCGTTCCTGGTCAAAGTTGAGGGCCTGACGTTCCCGCTGCTGGCGTTCCAGGCGTAGTACAGACTGTAGCTGCTCAAGCTGCCTGCGCAGCTCCCCCGCTTCATCCCAGTGACCCTCCTGAGCCCGCTGTGGCTGATGAGCATCCTGACGCATTTGCATGTCCTGGCAGAGTTGGGAGTCATGACGGAGTTGGGCCTCCTGACGCATTTGAGCCTCGTGGCGGAGCTGGGCCTCCTGGCGAAGCTGCGCTTCCTGTCGCATTTGCACTTCTTGGCGTATTTGAGCTTCTTGACGGATTTGGGCCTCGTGGCGGAGGTGAGCCTCCTGCCGGAGCTGGGCCTCCTGGCGGAGTTGGGCCTCTGGTCTGATCTGTGGGTTCTGACCCATCTGAATGTCCTGTTGCATATGGGTATCCTGTCGGTGCTGCACATCTCGCCACTGAGCTTCCTCACGCTGCTGCCTCTCCTGTCTCTGGGCTTCCTGCCTTTGAGCTTTAGCTTCGTCACTTTGCAGGCTGAGCAGCGTGTCAGATGTGGGGGTGAGTGAGTTGGTGGAGGGCTTGGTTGGGTTTCGGGGGCAGTGGACAGTTCCCCATGGTGGCAGCAGCCCTGCTGCAGCTAAGTTAGGGCTCACAATCACTTCTGCCCCCCTGCTTGCTTCACTGAGGGCACGCTTTAAACTTAGTACCTCTGCCTCAAACACACCCAGCTTCTCTCTTAGGATGGACACCTGCAGAGAAAATGAGCAGCCTGATGTTAATGAAGACTTTTAGTTTTCAGATTTAGTTTATAGTTCTAAAAAATTAGTGTGCCACATTTTGCAGCAAATACAAGTACAAGCCTTCCCGGGTATGTGTCTACTGGTTTGGCACATCTAAAGAGAGAAATGTTCATTGTTTCCTTCATGGATTTCAGTCTGAATTCTGACTGGGCCATTCCTAATGAGGGATATGCTTTATGCTTTGCCATTCTATCGTGGCTCAGGCTTTTTTGTGTGATTTGCTGTGTTTCCATTAGCCATTATATTTCGCAAAATTGTAATTCGAAAACTAATTTGTTATACGGAAATAATTTAGAAAAAAACTCACGTTTTAAGTTTCTCCACTTCGATGAGGTGTTTTTTTTCTGTCCTATCAAAATTCTTACCTTTTCACAAAAATGCAATGAAAAAACTTATCTCGCATCAAAGGAGAGAGATTTGCAGCTGTGCTGACTGCCTTGTAAAAAGATGAAGAGGACCGGAAATAGTTGTACGATGGTGCCCAGTAGAGCCATGGCTGAAATATGGATATATCTCGCGTTGACATCCGCAGCTGCCATGTAGTTTTCAAGAGTTAATGTGTGAACAAACATATTCACATGTTAATTTAATTGTATTTGTTGTTTAATGGTAATACAGCATTTGTGAAACTTTGCATTTTTGAAATGATCAAAATATCAAATTAGATTTGTACACATTTGTAATGCAAATGCAGCAAATATCCTAATAGCAGATTAAAATTTTGCAAACACTTTAAAGCTTTTGTAGCAGGTTTGACCTGTTATAAACTCTATCATTACTCTCACAAACCCACACCAGGTTGACCGTCACTAGCAAAGAAATGTTTCTACAAAACTTGATACTGCCACTGGGTGTTTCATGGGGCTTCTGTGATTGATGCTCTCTTTGATCCGCCCTTTAAAAGATGGAGGACCATTATCCTGCCAAGTTTTTCAGCTCCCATTGATGGTTCATTCAAATTGTTCATGAGATCATTTAGCCATAAAGAAAAGACATGTTGAAGCTATTTCATATACTGTTGCTCAATCCCTAATTTGTTCCCAGCTCTCAGACAAGCTTTTTGAATCCCTCTTGAAGGACTTTGAGGATTGCACTTTCAGCAGTGTAGATCTAGTCATGCATTTACCAATCCTGAAAGCTCAGAGGTTGGGAATCAGTTTTTGACTTGTGTATTGAACATTATGTATCAATTTTCACAAACCCAAGGCAGCCAACAAATTCTGGCTACACTCAGAGGATACTTTGTAAGTTAAAAATCGTCACAATTATGGAGAAAGTAGTTTCCTGGATTTTATCTGCAAAACTAAACTTACAATATGTATAAAGGATTATTTCACCCATGAAGTGGTGGTTTTGATACAGAAAATATGATTATTTTTACAGAACAGTATTACATATGGGACACCCCCATTAGAATAAAACCTGAATGAGTTTTGTACAACATTTCTTGTGCATAAAATTAGCAGCTGCTGCCCCCTAGTGTTGAACAGATGGACTAGTGGGTTATGCAGTATTTTCCCTCACCATTAATTTTTAAATTTGCTGGATTTTCATTGTTTGTAGGATGCATGGGGGCTTTATAGTGTCAATTATAGGTGTGATGCCTCTTCCTTTAGCAGTAGTGTATAACTCCTAGATTTCTAGGCAGGAGGCAGAGAAGAGATCTATATAAGAAACACCACCTGACCCATTAAATCACAGGTCCCCAACTCTGATCTCTGTCATTCTGCATGAAGTCCCCAAGGACCAATATTGAGGGCCAATTCTCCAACATAAAACCACGATAATATAGTAATCAGGGATTTTTGGGCATTTTTCATAAACAGGGTGACTTTGTCAAAGCTTGCAAAAAATAAAAGAATTTTTTTTTTTTCATAAATACAAAGACATACTTATTTTCTCAATTGTATTGATTTCCTACCTACAACCTTAACCGTTAACACATTATTAATTTGCATGACCAGATAGGGCAACATATATTTATCCCCATGCATTAGGATAGATATTCTTACATTATTTTTTTTAAATATGAGGACCCACTTATATTAAATCTAACTATTATTTTTGAAAAATAGCTTTTGGATGTATTAAGCTTGCTTTGCTCCAGCGTCAAACTTCAGTTTTAGTGCAAAACAATGTTGATGGGTTGTTGAAGTACCTGATTAATAAATCTCGCTGAAATTTTGCGATATGATAAAATAAAATGTTTGCTCTGATATCGCACCTCAGACAGCGTCCTTCTCAGCTCGCCTTCACACTTCTCCAGTTCCAGACACTTTGTGCTGTAGGAGTCCTTCAGGCCCAGCATGACCTCCTCTCGCTCCCTCAGCTGGGCATTGAGCTCCTTCAGCTGGCCCCTCAGGGCCACCATCTCTCCGGCCCGCTGGGTCACTTCAGCCTGGCTTTCCCGGAGCTGCTGCTTCAGCAAGGAGATCTCACCTGCTTTCTGACACACCTGCCACAGCAACCATGTGTGAGTTGTATAAATCTTTTGTATTTTATCTTTGTATTACTGGCACAATGATGTCTAAAAGAACATATATTTGTCATAGCGTAACTTTACACAGAACATTTTGGATAAACAATCTAATTTAATAGAAACATTTCTTTTTTCAGATCACTATTACCATAGCTGATGGCAAGTCTAATAAAATACATGTAAAAAATGTTTTAAATTTATACTTTATATTTTTAGATTGATGAATGTACGGGAAGTTTTATTAAGTAATTCATAGTTCTTGCTTCTTTGTGGAGGGAACATGAAGTTAAATAGAAGCTTGTTTTTCTGAAAAGGCACAGATGTTGAAGGCTCACCTCTTAATCCTACCTGGATGTAGGCCTGCAGAACTTTTACACAAGAAAAGGGAGAAAACTCATGTCTCACCTCCCACTTGGTCTCTTCCAGACGAGGCAAGATGTCAGCTTGTTCTTTCCTGTAATCCAGGCACTTTCTCTCCAGCTCCTCCCTCTGAGCCAGCAGAGCTGCCATCTCCTCCTGGAGTCTCCTCTTGTCCTGGGACAGACGCGTTATCTGGGCCTGCAGGGCGGCCTGGGAGCGCTGAGCCCGGCGGGTAACCTTCAATAGAAGATAGATATACAATTTACAGCCTGCAAAAGTATATGGATCCCTTAAACTTTAAGCCTTTCTGAGGTTTATTAAGATTTCTGACAAATGGAAAAAAGAAAAAAAAAAATTTCTGAAAAAAAGTGAAAAGTCCAGCATGGATTTATATTTAGACCCATTTATTAGAATCCTGCTCAGCCAATTGCTTTCAGACATCCTCTAATTAGTAGATGGATTTAATGTTATTTAAAATTATTATAAATCCAGCTGTTCCATTGAGAAGTTTATTATAGATCATTGTTGATCTAACAGCATCATAAAGAACAAGGAAGATTGCAGAACATCAGGAATAGACATGTAGAGATGTTCAAAGTAGATTTAGAAGAACAATCCACTGGACTTTGTTTCCAAGTTTAAAGACTATTGCTTCCTTTCCAGGGCGCTTTTTCAATTCATAATGACGCAATAAAAAAAGAGCTTCATGGATGGGAAGCTTAACATCTTGAAACTTGGAAACAAAGTCCAGTGGATTTTTCTTTTAACTTTTTTGGAATGACTATGATCTGGTTGACTGAGAATCTTCATCCGCATAAAGTAGATTAAGATTATAAAACAATATAATCTGTTAAACCAAAATGGAAGACTGCAATCCAAGAGGGGACAAAATATATTATTCTGTGAATAATCAGCCAACCAGGTGAAACATTGTTAACTCTGGAGGAGCAACAGAGATCCACAGCTCATGTGCGATAATCTATAGACATGTAGACATCTATAGTAGTTCCTTGATCAGAGCAACATCCCTGACTTCTGTTCAATAAACCTTTTGTATTTTCATGCTTACTCCTTTGTGGCTGCATTTATGGTTCTCCAGTAACAGTAGTTACAAACTTTGTTAAAAAAAATAAAAAATCTGTCCTATTTATCAAGAAAAATGGGCAAATGTGCCAGAAGCTAGAGGTAGAAGCTATGAGATGGAGACTCAAATGACTTATGGCTATGATGTAGAACATGCACAGTTTAGGTTTAGGATCTTTATTTTTTGAACGCACTGTTAAGCCACATTTTATTTCCCTGCTATTTAAATTGACCCCTTCCTTTAGATACAAACTACATATATTCAAATTTGTAGTTGTAACATACAAATGTTAAAATGTGAAAGAGTGAATGAAATTTGCATAGTTTTATAAGGTAGAGTATGCATAATGCTGCATTTCTTGGTTGGTACCTGAAGCCATGTAGGTCTTTGCCAATTGTGTTTTTTTAGGAAAAGCTTTGGTTTAGATGCATTTAATCATAAAAATAGCTATTATATAAAGTGAAGTTATCAGACAGGACAGCAGCAGTTGGTTTCATCAAAAACAATTATGAGTCAAAATACAGAGGAAGTTGAGCACCTTACATTTGCATCAATGTGAAAATGACTATGACAATTGTGAGGATTTATGTCCCTGTTCCTTCCACAATATCTGCAGAAGTTTAGTAAAATATCAGGAGGTTCAGTTAATAAGTGTAAGAGGAGAGGAAGCTGCAAGAGGTACAAAGGATCTGCTGGAACCCAGTAAGCTTAAGAGCAGCACGTTATAACAAATTCAGGGGAGAGAAAACTGTACTATCTGAACAACATATGTTGATCTACCAGGGAAAAATAAACAACTGTTCGTGTGGCAGCATGAGATGCTTAGTTTTCGTGCATTTCTTTTGTGGATCAATAGCTCTGAATGGAAGTACCATGAGACAAAGTACACAATGTCTCATGTGAATGAGGTTACCTGCTGCAGACGTGAAGCATAGTTCTGTCTCAGCTCGTCCATCTGTCTCTCCCAAACACGCTGCTTCTCTTCAAACACCTGAATGATGGCTGCCTCACTTTGGTCCAGGTTTCTGCGCATGTGCTGCACCTGCAGAAAAGAGACAAGAAATGGATTAACAGCTCAGTGTCTATGAAGAGGACGAGCAAAATCATCCAGCTTTTTTAATAGATTACCACAATTTCTGTTTACTCTGTAGGGTTTTTCCCTCATCCTTTCCAGGAAACGTGGCATTTGTGAATGTCCACTCACCTCTTGCTCTTTCTCCCACAGCCGGTCCTCGAGGTCCTGGATGATGTCATCAGAGGAGGGGGAGGGTCGTAGAGGAGCCGGCGCGTCGCTCAGGTGGCTGAGCCTCTGATAGGATGAAGAACTCTTCCCTGAGGAGGACCGGCCGCTGTCTGAGGCGCTCAGCCCGTTCTGCAGGATAAAAGCCCAACATGACGATAATGCTTCACCACAACATTAGACCTGAGCTATACTGTACATGAGCCAGGCAACAGCCTTACCTGGTAGGTGGGCTTTTCCAGTTTGTCCAGACCTGCAGCTGCCCCCGCCATGCCCAACCTGTTAATGTGGCTGGTAGAAGCACTGAGGGGCCCTAAGACTGCTGGGGGCCCACAACCAGACCCCGAGCCTGTGTAGGTGGGCAGACTAGTCAGGGAGTTTCTCCCTGAATCTGACATCCCTCCCTGAACTACTTCAGTACCATTTCCCCCTCCATCGCTTCTACTCACCCTAACTGGACTGTCCTGGTCCAGGAGCAGAGCCTCTGGCACCTCACCTGTCTCCCCTACTCCTGCATCCCTGCCCCTCCTGCCTACTCTGCCCTCAGAGAAGCCCTCGCCCCTGGTGTCAGTCTTTCCCTCACTCCCGGCCCCTCCTGCCTGGCCCACCAGATTTTGCATGGAGTGAAAGCTTTTGGGAACCACCGGCTTGAAGGCAGAGGGACGGACAAGGCCTGAGGTGCTCTGCATAGCCTGCGAACGAGAAGGAGGAGGCAGATACATGTTAGACAATACCTGAGCCAAACTGACCTGAGAGTTATGCAATGTGAAGAAAAGCAGTTTCAGTTAAAAAGTTTATAACACCAATCATCAGAGCAATTGTGAAATTGAGATGCATCTGTGAACTTTATTAAAGTATTTTACACTTTATTTCATTTTTGGAAGCTGCTTGGGTATCACTTTAACGTGGATTACAGTCGAATCCATGGAACCATTCCCAGAGTCCCATTGTGTTCGCCTAAACAATATCGTGGCTAAAAGGCTTAGGCTGAAGCAAAAGCTTATGAATGTTTGCCTTCTTCCAACAAAGTTAAGCTTCACTTAACAACAATAAGCATTTCAGATAATACTAGAAATATACTACACTTGTAATAATTTTCAAATATAATGTTGTGCACAGCTTTTTTTTTAATTAAGAGAGGATGTACATGACTCTATATGACTCTATATTAGCATTGTTTTACATTTGATTTCGTTTTTGACTTTTTGTAAGGTGAATTAGCATTTATCTCTAAAAATTTGATTTAATTTCTGGAATAGAAAAGAACTTCTCCTTATAATTCACAGTATTTTTTATTTTTTGCTTTGTACATAAACTACATTTTTCTATATTTTGCAAGATCTTTTTATTACATTATATTTATGAATAGTGGATTAGTGGATGTGACTCTTTTTTTTTTTTATTATTAGATCATTTTATTTGCCTGTGGCCTTTATTTTTCTTTTACTTTTGAAAGTAGGTAGACAGGAAATTTGAGTAGATAAAGGGGGTGAAGGTTAACAGCCCGGGACTCAAACCTGTGAGCAAAGCCTCTGTGCATGGATCATGCTCTTAAACCCTTTGCCACTGCTGCACCCCCAGCACAATCTTTTATATTTTAGTTTTGTAATTTGTTCCTCCTAATTCAACATAGTATGTTAAAAAAGGTGTATTACAGAGTAACTTGTTAAATACAAACCTTTCAAATTTACAATGTTCTTTATGTAAAACTTCCATTGACTTTCAATGTTTTCTTTTAAATGTTTTCAGCTTAGTTTATGAGTAATTAATCTTGTATAGTATTTCTTTGTCCAAATAGAAAAAAAACCTTCAACTTTCAGACCATATTGCTTTTCAGAGGTCATTTGGCAGCTGTGAAGAGTTTTATGTCATAGCCATGCAACACTGACACCGTTTATTCCACAGCTTTCAGTATTACGCTCTAGTAGGCTTGAAGTTTGTTGGTCCCTGAGTTCTTCATGAACTATTTCCTTTGAGGCAACAGTGACAGCTCAGATAAGACAGTTGGATGTGCCTACAAATAAATAACCTGAAACATACCAAAGTTGTTTTATTTTAACAATTACGTCAGACCCTCTGAGAGGCCACTCCAAAACCATGACCTGAACTTTAATGAAAGCTTGTGGATAGAATAACATTATCATTAGTATCAGTTAATGAAGTCTGCAGCATCACCTCCATCTTTGATGTCAAGGGGTTCTTTCATATACACTATATTGCCAAAAGTATTTGCTCACCTGCCTTGACTCACATATGAGCTTAAGTGACATCCCGTTCCTAATCCATAGGGTTCAATATGACGTCGGTCCACCCTTTGCAGCTAGAACAGCTTCAACTCTTCTGGGAAGGCTGTCCACAAGGTTTAGGAGTAGGTTTATGGGAATTTTTGACCATTCTTCCAGAAGCGCATTTGTGAGGTCGCACACTGATGTTGGACGAGAAGGCCTGGCTCTCAGTCTCCGCTCTAATTCATCCCAAAGGTGTTCTATCGGGTTGAGGTCAGGACTCTGTGCAGGCCAGTCAAGTTCATCCACACCAGACTCTGTCATCCATGTCTTTATGGACCTTGCTTTGTGCACTGGTGCACAGTCATGTTGGAAGAGGAAGGGGCCAGCTCCAAACTGTTCCCACAAAGTTGGGAGCATGGAATTGTCCAAAATGTCTTGGTATGCTGAAGCATTCAGAGTTCCTTTCACTGGAACTAAGGGGCCAAGCCCAGCTCCTGAAAAACAACCCCACACCATAATCCCCCCTCCACCAAACTTTACACTTGGCACAATGCAGTCAGACAAGTACCGTTCTCCTGGCAACCGCCAAACCCAGACCCGTCCATCAGATTGCCAGATGGAGAAGCGCGATTCGTCACTCCAGAGAACGCGTCTCCACTGCTCTAGAGTCCAGTGGCGGCGTGCTTTACACCACCGCATCCGACGCTTTGCATTGCACTTGGTGATGTATGGCTTGGATGCAGCTGCTCGACCATGGAAACCCATTCCATGAAGCTCTCTGCGCACTGTTCTTGAGCTACATGAAGTTTGGAGGTCTGTAGTGATTGACTCTGCAGAAAGTTGGCGACCTCTTCGCACTATGCGCGTCAGCATCCGCTGACCCCGCTCCGTCAGTTTACGTGGCCTACCACTTTGTGGCTGAGTTGCTGTCGTTCCCAAACACTTCCATTTTCTTATAATACAGCTGACAGTTGACTGTGGAATATTTAGGAGCGAGGAAATTTCACGACTGGATTTGTTGCACAGGTGGCATCCTATCACAGTTCCACGCTGGAATTCACTGAGCTCCTGAGAGCGACCCATTCTTTCACAAATGTTTGTAAAAACAGTCTGCATGCCTAGGTGCTTGAATTTATACACCTGTGGCCATGGAAGTGATTGGAACACCTGATTCCAATAATTTGGATGGGTGAGCAAATACTTTTGGCAATATAGTGTATATATTAAGCGGTGTTATTTAAAATGTTTTCCTGCAGGAGAAGGGTTCTAATGTTACATTGTTTTTTTGTTTGTTTTATACTCTAAAAGAAAAAAAAATAATATAAGAAACTTTTGAGTTGTGGAAACATCCGTTTTGTTTTGCAGCATTTCTACCATTATCTGAAACATGCAGAAACCTTCATATCAGAAAAAAAATCATTTACAGCAAATATAATCAAAGAATCTAAATAATAAAATGCTCTGAATATTTGTTTCTTTTAAGCCTTCAATTCACTTATTGAAACATTTGCAGTTGAACATAAATCCAAAGATAATTTTGTTACATTTTAACAGTTAGGGTTGTTTTTATTGATGTTATTACAATTAAAGGGCTTCACAAAGACCACAAACTTAAAGGTTCAGAAAAATTTAATCAGCACACAAAACCTGGGAAAAAAATTAAGCAACATCATAAGGAGATGTAATAAGTTGAATTGCAGATATTTTGATTATCTAGGTAATTTATGTTTGTTTGAAAACCTGAATGGATTAGTTAAAAATCACTCTTATGAAAAAATGAATAATAGAATTTAAATTAGTAGTCATAGGACTTCCTAGTTTAGGAGTCTGCAACTAATGGCCATAAAGCAACCTGTCAATCAGTTAATCAATCAATTCTTATTAAATAGGGGTCCTCCATTACAAAACCAAGTGTTTAACAGATTTGAAATTCTCAGGCATTTTTCAGTGTTTTAATGCAATATCCAAATAGCATTCCAACAACAGAATGGCAGCATCAGAACATTTTTTAAGTTTGTTTTTTTAACCCTAAATTTTTTAACCCTAAATTTGTATCCCTGCCTTTGCTAAACAGTCATATTGGCTACAAGCAAAGGCAACAATCCCTCTTTCATTGAAAACTGTGTAGTCCCTGTTTTAGACTAAATGTACTGCTCATCTGAATGTGCTTACTCCCATGTTGGAAACCCAAACACCTCAGACATGACGTCTTACTGTATCTAGAACAATTGCTTTAATCCAGGTCCCCTCAAAATATCATATCAGTCGGTTACGACAACCTCTTATCACACTCAGATGTCGACCAAAAAGCTTCAAAAGGTCCAAAAGAGTTTTTTCACAATGTCTCTTATTATATGTAAACATTTTCTAATGTTTCTTGTGTCATTTGGTAAATTAGGACTTTCACTGAACTTAAAATATTTTATAATTACATAATTTTAAACACTTATAAATATGTTAATTTACAAAGTTGCCTTTTTATTCAGTAAAATTATGTTAGGTTTGAAACATTGAGTTGTAGTTAAGAAGTTTTGTCTCTTTCAACTTAAAGGTTGTGCATAATAAAATCTGAAACACATTTTTCTGTAAGCTGTTATGGCGCTGAGGTTTCCAAACTCTGCCTCTGATATGCAGCTCAGTTCCTTGCAATAGCTCCTTCCCTGGAGACTCCAGCTCCCAGAGAGACAGACAGAGTAAACCACAATCAAGCAAAAAGCCTGAATCAGCTGAGATGGAGTAACGCCTTACCAACTCTATGTTGGCTCAACATTATTATTACTTTTTTGGATACTTATCTAGCTGTTTTTGTGGATTTAATTTGTTTTTCACTTATTGTCTGTATTCCCTCCCTACCACGATCATGTATTCCTTTCACTTAGCAGTTTTTTAAGGAAAAACCCTTGTTGTTTCCATTTATGGTTAATCATCCAAAGTGATTATCCGCCAAGACATCGAATGAAGTAATAATAATAATAATAATCAATAAATCTTTGATATATACATACACTGCTCAAAAAAATAAAGGAACACTTTGAAAACACATCAGATCTCAATGGGGCAAAAAAAATCATGCTGTTTATTTATACTGATATGGACTGGGTGATGTGTTAGGAACAACAGGATGCCACATCATTTGATGGAAATGAAAATTATCAACCTACAGCGGGCTGAATTCAAAGACACACGAAAAATTAGAGAGAAAAAATGATGCGGCAGGCTAGTCCATTTTCCTGAAATTACATTGCAGCAACTCAAAATGCTATTCAGTAGTCGGGGCATGCTCCTAATGAGACGACGGATGGCGTCCTGAGGTATCTCCTCCCAGATCTGGACCAGGGCATCACTGAGCTCCTGGACAGTCTGAGGTGCAACCTGGCGGTGTCGGATGGATCGAAACATAATGTCCCATAGGTGTTCTATTGGATTTAGGTCAGGTGAGCGTGGGGGCCAATCAATGGTATCAATTTGTTCATCCTCCAGGAACTGCCTGCATACTCTCGCCACATGAGGCCGGGCATTGTCGTGCACCAGGAGGAACCCACGACCCACTGCACCAGCATAGGGTCTCAAAATGGGTGCAATGATTTCATCCCGATACCTAATGCAGTCAGGGTGCCGTTGTCTAGCCTGTATAGGTCTGTGCTTCCCTCCATGGATATGCCTCCCCAGACCGTCACTGACCCATCACCAAACCAGTCATGCTGAACGATGTTACAGGCAGCATAAAGTTCTCCACGGCTTCTCCAGACCCTTTCATGTCTGTCACGTGTTCTCAGGGTGAACCTGCTCTTATCTGTGAAAAGCACAGGGCGCCAGTGGCAGACTTGCCAAGTTCGGTGTTCTGTGGCAAATGCCAATCGAGCTCCACAGTGCCGGGCAGTGAGCACAGGGCCCACTAGAGGACGTCGGGGCCTCAGGCCGCCCTCGTTAAGTTTGTTTCTGATTGTTTGGTCAGAGACATTCACACCGGTGGGCTGCTGGAGGTCATTTTGTAGGGCTCTGGTGGTGCTCCTCCTGCTCCTCCTTGCACAAAGGAGCAGATACCGGTCCTGCTGATGGGTTGTAGACCTTCTACGGCCCTGTCCAGCTCTCCTGGAGTAACTGCCTGTCTCCTGGAATCTCCTCCATGCTCTTGAGATTGTGCTGGGAGACAAAGCAAACCTTCTGGCAATGGCACGTGTTGATGTGCCATCCTGGATGAGTTGGACTGCCTGTGCAACCTCTGTAGGGTCCAGGTAGCGCCTCATGCTAACAGTAGTGGCAGTGACCCTAGCCAAATGCAAAACTGGTGAAAAAGAGTCAGAAAAGATGAGGAGGGGACAAAATGTCAGCGGCCTCCACCTGTAAAACCATTCATATTTTTATGGTAGTCTCGTTGTTGCCCCTCTAATGCACCTGTTGTTAATTTCATTAACACCAAAGGACCTGAAACTGATTAACAACCCCCTCTGCTACTTACCTGACCAAATCAATATCCCAGAAGTTTAATTAACGTGATGCTATACTCTGATTATAAAGTGTTCCTTTAATTTTTTTGAGTAGTTTATATATACACACTCATATACAGGTGTGGGCATTTCCAGTTCTTGATGGACATTACTCTACAAATTTTAGTTGTGTTTTTTATCCAGCAGACCTGAATCAACTAATGAGATAATTTTAAGGACATCGGAGAAAATAACTTCTTGTTCAGTAGGTAATTCAGCCATTTGATTTAGGTCCACTGGACCAAGGACACATTTTGAACTTTTGTATACTGGCACTAAGGATGTGTAGTATACTGGCACTAAGGATGTGCCCCCCCCCCTTGATCTAGAAAAACACAACAATTTTCCTGCTTTTGAAAAAAAAACATGTGTTATTCTGTGAAAGGAAACAAATCATTTAAAATGTTATTTGATAGATTAGGAGTTTTTTATCAGTGTAATTTTATGTAGTTTATCATGCTGTGGTCCAAAAAGTCAAACTACCTGCTCCAGTTTTCCTGACACGGCCATGATCTTGGGTGGGTTGTGGCTGACTGGATTGTTTTCATTGTCGGCTCTGGTAGCAACCATCTCTCTGTGCTGGTGGTGGTTCATGCCCACACTGGTCTTCTCGCTGACTCCTCGACCCACAATGTTTCCACAAACATCCAGACCTGCCACCTGCATCTGCATCTCCCTCTCCCTCTCTCTCTCCATCCTCTCGTTCTCCAGCCTCTCTCTTTCTCTCTCCCTCTCTCTCTCCCTCTCCCTCTCTATCTTCTCCCTCTCTATTCTCTCTCTCTCCCTCTCCCTGGCTCGCTCCCTCTCCCGCTCCCTCTCCCGTTCCAGCCTCTCTCTTTCCACCCTCTCCCGTTCCCTCTCCCGGTTTCTCTCCCTCTCGCGCTCCCTCTCCAGCCTCTCCCGGTCCCAGTCTCGATCCCGGTCCCGATCCCTGCCCCTCTCGCGCTGCCTCTCCCTCTCCCATTCCCTCTCCCTCCTCACAGCTACGTTCCCACAGTCCAACTGGTTGTTATTGGAGGGGGCGGTCATGGTACATTCAGTGTGTGTTGAGGAGGCTGTCTCTGTTGGCCGGTCAGTCCCAGTGCAGGTTCCAGTCCCAATACTAACACTGCCTCGCTCATCGCTTGATGCCGTTCCATCCGAAATAGTCGCCGGAGGGCGGGGCAGTCGCTCGGCGCTGCAGCTGCGATCTGCAGGGCAACGGCGAGAGAGTGGAGGGGCTCGGGGCAGGGTGGTCCTGGTGCCCACGGACTTCATGGCAAACTCCTGCTCTCCTGCCACCCCACTGCCAACACTGCCCATAGTGGAGGTCAAAGGTCAGGGATTAGAGGTTAGGAGTCAGGATTGGGGAGGGTCACAGATACATTTGGAAGAAGTGTGGGTCATCACAACCTAATGCAGGTATTGGGGGCACACACACTAGAGGAACACAGAGAAACGAAAGCAGTTATACAATATTATATTGGCAGAATAACTAGTTATACAATATTAGGACAAATAGTGGGCTCCAGTCCACAAACAGGGGCGCCGGTGTTCCTCTGACCACAACGAAAACCACAATGGTTACAAAGATTAGTCTCAATTGTAAAACAAAAGTTAATCTGCAGAGTAGGGCCAATAATACACAGGCACCACTGGAAAAGATGTGTTAAAGCCTTAAAGTGTATTCCTCATACATATTTTTCCATTACCGATTTCTAATGATCAAGTTTCATTAGTCACAACAAGGCCTGAAACCTGGCAGACATGTAAATCTAATAAATCACTTAAACGAAATCTGACAACATGACGGAGGCTAGAGAGGCTAAAAGATCACAATAAGCAACTGATCTGGTCCTGATTTAAGGGAATTCAACAACAAATGTTAAACAAAATAAGTAACATCCACCTTTCTGTAAAAATGAATACAAAGCAATATCTAAGGCTTCGGAATTCCTGTAAACTACAGTTCAACCAGAGAAAATATGGAAGTAGGTCACACAGGCCTACAAGAATTACTCATCAGCAACTTATCCAGGTGAAGAATGAACCTGAACTATTTTCTAAAGCACTGCAGCCCTTACTTGTATCAGCTGAGGTCAGTTTTAATGACGTGAGGGAATGGGTAAAAACGGCATCTGCCGGCAGCAGGGCCAATACCACTGCTGTCAAATAGAACATAAAGGCCAGTATCATGTTCATCTAGGGACAACATTTGAAAAACGTATCAACCATAAGGGGGTTGCTTGAGGGACCTCAGGGAATTGGATGGAAAATAATAAAAAGGAAATTAAAATCTATTTATTTTTATCATTATCATAATATATATATAAATTATCTTTAAACATTTACGACAAAGTACAGCTTATAATAATATATTGAGATGGAATAAGGATTCTAAACTGAAACTATAAAAGCACACCATCTGTGAGAAAGGACTTTCCCACCTTCTACCTTTTGCAATAATCTACTTGTTTGAGACTAGCTGTACACTCTAAAGGTACTTAAGATAAAGCATGGCTCATGTCTACATGTGGAAAAATACATTAATATAACTCTGACAGAAACACTGAGAGACGTTTGATTTCTTTGGTTTCTTATTAATTAGGAATATAATACAATGTTGATAACATGTTAGTTGATACTATTATGGTACACAGGTAGTTTATAGTTGAATAGTTGCTAAAAGTGACAAACAAAATCTAAAAGTCTAAAAGATGGCCCCTGGCCATCATCTGATACTGTTAGGGGGTCTATGGTAGGGAAACGTTTGGACACCACCACCTTGACTTACATTTAACTTAAAGGTATAGTGGAGGATCATCAAAATAAATGGTCCTCCTAATTGCCATCACTTCTCTAACCACTAGGCCATCACTGATCCGCAGGTCCTGCGCAGTGGAGGAGGAGTTACGTGACCAAGGGGGAGATCATCTGCCCGAACGGTCAGTTAACTGAGTTCACTATAAAGTCCACTATATACTCCCCACTCTATATGGAGATTGAATTATCCCAATGTCTGTCTTGCCTGAGTACAGGGTCCTTCTGACCTGCTTCATGGCAATAAATATTCTTTTAGAAACATCTATCTCCTTGTCGGTATATTAGTGCATATTAGATGTAGAACATGTTACTGCTCTAATCTTGTCATACAACACCAGTGTCTTCATTCTGACGCTTCCCTTGATCAGTGGTAAGATGCTATAGTGGTCCTTCCTTTCTACAGCCATTGGTATCTACTGCAGCATATTGAAGAAATTCCTATAAAAAGACAAAAATCAATGTAAACTGTAGCTTTCATAAAGTTATACTTTTCTTTATTTATATTTTTATTTATTTTTTCACATATTTGACCATCTATTATTACCCAGAGTTGGAAAATAAAATAAATAATTATAGTTTAAGCTGAGAAAACAGACTGCTACCATCAGGCACTTAAGCTTATTAATTAAGTTTTCTCCAGAACTGTCATATAAGATCATGATTGGAGGATGCCACATCATAATGTTGCACAAAAATGACTACAGCCAGCTCTGCCCACAGAGATAAAATGTTATGACAGCTGAATGGGGGTTGTTGCCATCCAGATATAACAATTTATTCACTTTAGAGGACTAAAAAGTTCTTAAATGTAATATTTATACACCAACATCCATGTTTGTCCATGAGCAACAACAAGGTCTTGTGGGATTTTCCAGATTTATATTGTTATAAAAATAATCGCAATTGTCTTCGTTAATGTATCTGGAGATAAATCGTACTGTGACATGTGTCATCATAGGTGGTGTTTCGCCATATTTTTGCCAATTCACACATGTGGTAATTGTACAATAGAAATCAAAGAACTTTTTTTTTTTTTTTTGGAATACCTTCATTTAATGATAAAAAAAAAATCCAATGTTGATAAATAATTATTAAAAAAATCAGAAGAGGACCAATAATTACTATGCAATGCAATCTCTTAGAACCTAAAATGTATTAATTTTTATTCTTTTTTTTTTCTTTTTTTTAAATGACCTCCCTAACTTCTTAAATTACTCTCAACAACAGCAAACTATGTGCCAATCCCATGTTTGGAGTATTGTCAGGGACCGTTTTGTTTGCACCTTTAGAGATGTCAGCATTTTCATTTTACTACTGGGACCCTAACTGGTACTTTAACTGCTTTAAACCCAAAACACCCAGCAGAATCACCACTGCCCTTTCGGTTAAGTACCGTGGAGACTGTATGAGCCTGTTGATTTATTTCTAATGGGGCACCTTTGTACAGTGCATTTCATTATAAACTAGTTTAGATTTCAGTAAACAGATTGGTGGCTTATACTAGGAACCTTTTACAATATAACCACACACAAAAAAATTCTGAGTGGTCCAAGATAAACTATGCCTCCACTTCTAAGGAAGATGTTATGAAACAAAAAGACTAAATGATAGATTTTCTAGGAATTAAATCAACATATATCTTAATGTGAATCGTAAAAAAGTCACTACTCCAAATGTTATGGAGGCAGTGGGTTCTGTTTTACATTATTTTTTTTCTTTCCGCTATTTTCAACAAGAAATATGCAAGATCCTTTTTACGATTCAGATCTACAAGAATTCATGGATCCCGTCTCCACATAAATAACAATAAAACAAAGTATCTTACAATAAAACATTGTTTGCCTACATATCCATGAGAGTTTTGGTCCACATGGCAGTTTGAACACTGCTGATCTAGAGACTGTGTAAAGTCCCCTCTGTGTGTGTGCTTGAAGCTTACAATCTGTAAAGCCTAAATGCTAAATAAATCTATTTAAAAATAAAATGCATAATTGAATTTTGTCATTTTCTGTCCAATTGTTACCTTGACATAAATGATTGTTTTGCTTTAAAGCTTTATGCACATCTTTACCAGCAATCCAAGGAATACAGATCCAAATACAATTCCTTTTTGCACAAGTGAATCAAATCACTAACTGCTCAAATTTTCCATCTATTAACACCAAATGGGACAGGAAATACAGCTTGACCCCCCACCATACAAACCCCCAGTACAGACACACGCACATACAGAACAACAAAAAAAAAAAAAGCAAAAAAGCACATACACAAAAATAATCCTTAACACAAGCTCTTTAATCACCATAATATTTAGTGAAGATTGTTACCTCATGTTTTCCCTCACATCACTTATCATAGACAGGGTTTAACATCCACCATTGTCTCTCTTTTAACGAACATATCTTTACCTTAAACAACAAAAATAATGCAATAGCTGTTTTTACAAACTATACTAGTAAGGCATCCTCTGTTATCTCCAACATGGTGTGCACATTCAGGAAAAGCAAATGGCTTTGCTTATACTCAGTTTTTAAATCAACCACATAGTCAAGTAGGGCTATTTTTTTTTAAATATAGAAAATAAACTCAACACTTCCATTCAAGCATACCTTTGTTGAGATTCAGACTATAAGCTTTGTCATTATACTAGAATCAATGTTATATTAAACAGTTTGACAGGCAAGATGCAAAAGTTCTTCCTGACAAAAATAATATTAAATCAAATTCTGAGCAATACCTTTTAGTCATTAGGTTAACTGATTATTTGTTTGAAAATATTCTATAAAAACCCAACTCATAAAAATACTGTTAATGAGGCAGTTTCTCCAGGTACAGAAAAAAGCATTATGTGTTTGAAAGCCATATAAATTCTGGTATACCTCTAATAATTTGCAGGGAGTAATGATTGTATAACAACTGGTTTTAACAGGAGTTAACATTTTTTTATTTCAAAATTATTTACTTTTTATATATAAGTAAATGTCTTGATTTGGTTCCTACAGTTTTACGGCATTCTGGACATTTTAGTAAAACACATATACCTTTAAACTTGTTAATAATGTATGTATAATCCATAAACAAAAGAAACAAGACTGAGCTGAAGAATTTCAGAGTGTGGTAAAGCATCAATTAACTGCCTTTTTTATGTCTGGACTAACAAAACAAGCTTTACTTAAAAAATCTTTAGACTATATTTACTAAATAATGACTAAATAATCTTTTCCAAAATAGTTTGCATTCTTTAACCTAAATATCTGATGGATCAAATGGTAAACAACATGTAATGCAGATAAAAGACAAACAATTTTCTCTATTACACAATATAAACCAAACTTCATTTACTACCATTATTAGGGTTTTGCCCCTTAGAAGACTAAAGAAGAAAGAAAGTCATTTTTAAAAATTAAATTTCTTGCTTTATTGTTTTGACATTGACCTGAAAAATGGTCAATAACATTCCAGACCATCGAGACTGATCCGGTCCTGTTCAGCTCTTTTTTATAGACAAGAACTTGATAATACCTTGTTTTTTAGTTTTTTTTTTTTGCTTTACGCACAAGTAGGACCAGGCAGAAAAAATCACTTTTATCTATTTATCTAATTCAGTGGATATGGGGATTGTATCATGAGAAAACATGGATTTTTTTTCACCAATGCACTCCTTGTGGTGCTTTATGTCACAGTCTTGGTTCTTTTACGTTTTCTTTTGAGTATTCAGTTTAACTTTGTTCCATGTTTTCTAGTTTTATTGGTTTAATTCTTATTTTGTTGAGTTTTGTGGTTATATTTCAGTTCTCAGGTTTTTATTTGTTGTCCTCTGCTGCCCTCTTGTGTTGGTCTCCTTTTCCCTAGCTCCTAAGACCGCTCTCTTCACACCTGCTCCCAATCTGCTCGTTAGTCCTCTCTTTGTTCAGTCTCCCATAAATACTCTCCCTTTGCAGTTCCTCAGTGCTGGTTCCTCGTCTAACTTCCTCCAACTCCGTCTTACTGTGTCTTCCTCGTCGTGATTGTTTTCCCCTGATGTCTCAATGGTTTCTGGTTTGTTTTACCTTTTTCGTGTTTGATTTTTGTTGTCTGTTAACCTTTTATTAAATCTAAAAGAAACTCACCTCTGCCTCCCTGCCTCTGCATATGGGGACTCAAACCACAACCAAATCCTGACACCTTAGACTAGAGTAAAGCGAATTTTTGTTCTTAGATATTTACTCACAAATAATAAACTAGCTCAATATCTAGTCCCAACGGTTGGAAATGTTTTGCATGTCATATTTTCATTGAAACAAACGGCAGGACTGCTAACTTGTTTACAAGCATGTTTCACTACGTTTAATTAGTAGTACATTGAAATTTAAATATCCAAAACAGAATAGATGTAGTTTTTTATTTAAGGTTTTTGTGTGAGGTTTCATCCAGAGAAATTAATAAATCAATTAATTGGAACTGGTATGCAAAACTGAGATTTCCACCAAGAATCACACCCATGCCTATGGTTTGGGCTGTTAAACAAGTAATGTAAGCTAGCTTTTTCCACAAGAAAACCACTTTTGTTATGATTTTTGAAGTTACAATGGCAAAGCATTTTTTTTAAATGAGGTAAAAGAATTTGGAGTTAGTCGACCTTCTTAGTTTTCCTCATCCGATTTGTGTAAGGCACCACTACTACTGGCAACCACATAGGACAATGCTGCCTCTACCTAAAACTAAATAAATACCATTTTACTGTTAGTGTAGTAAGGCTAATGATTTCTATATATTTTTGACAGCAGATTTAACAAGTTTTATGTTTGGCATTTATGTTTCTTGAGATAAGAGGAACTGTAACTTCTGCTATAGAGAAGAAATAGTTCAGACACATCTCTATTTGAAATAGGATGGTGCTTATTCTGCTTTCACATCAAGATGTGGGAAAAAAAAGTCCACAGTATTGTATCCAGTTGAAACCAGATATTTATAAATACTTTATGAAATGATAAATTATCAGTTTTTGGTCAATGTCTGAGATAAAATCAAATGAAACTGGCAAAAGGACAGAAATTATTTCTATTTGCTAAATACCAGAATATCGAGAGATTTTATTTTCTGTTAGTTTCTTTAACTAGAGATGTTTAATGTACTGTATCACTATGCTTTTGAAAAGTCCAGATATTGCGGTCATGGGTTTGTTTCTAACAGGTTGATAAACAACATTTAACTTAAATGAAGGCTCCCCTTTGGGGTCTATTATTTACATGTACAGTACCGGACTAATGAAAAGATACCAGAAAAAAATCTCAGACCCTCATAAGTATGAAACATTCTAGGGTACAATTTCCATGTGCCTTCTGTATAATTTCCACATTTGGTGTTTTAAACAAATGCATGCAAATATATTTCAGGAGAGAGATAGTCCATGTGTCCCAAAGATGAGGGTTTTTGGTGTCAAATGTGCAAATCTACTCTAGAACAAAATCAAATCCCCCTAAAACACAGCATAGATGTCCAGACACCGATGTTGCAGCCTGGAGTATGGACCAATACCAATATTGACCCAATATGATATCAGCATGAATCTTACATTCTATCATTATTCATTTGAATCGTGTAGTGTTAGAACAGGCTCAGTGAAGCACTATTACTCAAACAGAGAACAGTAGTCAACAATAATAGGTAATGAGAACAACTGACCAATGCATTATTTACCAATGGGCTACATGGAAGCAGAGTGTTTTCATCAGCTTGCTCATATCAAAGATTTTAGATGCAGGCTGATGTATTCCGATATTTGTGTTTTTGTTGATATTGCTACAATTTCTGATATCAAGCCCACTCAGGGACAAATACCTCACTTCTGAAGGTAATTTGTGCTGTCTGATTATCTAAATGCATGCACATGGCTTTGACAAAATAACACTACATCTGAATATAAATTCAAAGGAATATTGTGTTTTCTTGAGGATCTACATTTGTAAATTGCACCTAGTAAAAGCAGGGAGAGGAAAAGATAACAGACCTCCAAGAATGGAGCATTGTGGTATCCTTTGGTAAAGGGATAATATCGATAAGAAATTAATATATATCAGCTTTTAGAGCACTAGCGCTGTAGGAGCTTCTAATGCATATCACAGAATAGATGACGTTATGAGAAAAGAATATCATGTGGACTAGAGTCCTGCACGGGTCAAGTTTTACCAACCCGCACCCGTTAGGATGACTCCCGAACCCGACCCGTCACCCGCGGATATCTTCAATTCAAATCCGAACCCGATATATATATATATATGTTTTTTTTACACATATCCCTGAGAAGCTGTTTTATTTTTTTATTATTATTATTATTATTTTTTACAGTTTATAATACAAAGTCAATAAACCCCTATTCTCATAAAATGTTTTTATGCAATCAAGTACTACAATAAGTCCTGCAAATGATAACTTTAATATTTTTGGCCAGTATGAAGAAAACTATAGAAAATAGTTAGCTCTTAAATAAAATCCCTATGAACTATTTTTGTGGCCCTCATTATATTTCTCCAAACAAATGTGTCTTTAATGGTAGCCTACAGGACAATAAAATGAACATGCAATTAAAGGAAACAAGGGCAGTGTCATAATTTGCAAATTATGACACAAATTATGACTGCAAAATGCTCTGAAAAGATATATATTTTTTCACTATAGCTGTAGATCAATGGGGTATGCTCTTAGATTAACTGTACCTCTTGTTAAAAGGCACTGCAAGTTACAAGATGCTTAATAAACGGTATATGCATGCATTTAATTGTTTATAATGGATTGTGTAAATTGCAATCAAACAATATTTAAAAGTTACAAGAAAAAGATGATAGATAGATAGATAGATAGATAGATAGATAGATAGATAGATAGATAGATAGATAGATAGATAGATAGATAGATAGATGATAGATAGATAGATAGATCTATGCTGTGCGCCTCCCTTTGTCAGCCCATTTACTAGAGGTTTACTTCCACTCGGATGAACAGTAGTAGTAGTAGGATACCCTGGCTATCTATGTATGTGCTGCTCTGTCTCCATCCCCTCCCCTCTCGGCTCTCTCCCCTTTCTCTGCATCCCTGGGCGGCTTTAGCAGCATCCGCATCAACACCTGAATCCACTGCGCTCTCTGACAATTACCGACTAGGCCTCTGACTGGAAAAAAATTATACCAAATAATAATTAACCCACAAAAACTCACCACCTTCGCTTTAGACAACATATAATAACGGCCATGAACAACCAAACACACAGCGTCGCTGACATTGACGGCGTATCATGCAGCAGCTTTGATTTACCGACTGTAGCATCCCAGCGGTCCGTCATCAAAAGGCTACTCACTGGTTCTGCAGCTGGCTGCTCGGTAAGATGGCAGCCTGGAAACAGCTGGATGATCACCAGACGGCGGCGGCGGCGGGGCTGCTCGGCCGGCCG